CTTGAAGGTGGTGTGTGGACCGAGATTGGAGCCACTGAGGACACTGATCGATGGTAGTTCAGGCGCTACCTGCACCCAGCCTGCAGACATAATGCAGGTCTGGCGGAAACACTTTGACTGTCTCTTGAACAACCGTTCAGAGATTGACTGGCCTACATTGAACGGCCTGAAGCAGCACGATGTGAAGGCGGATCTGGCGGATACGCCGACACTGGATGAGACACTGAGAGCACTTGCTCAGCTGCGAAACGGCAAATATGCCGGAGGTGACGGGATCCCACCTGAAGTATTGAAACACGGTGGACCCGCGTTGTTGACTGCGCTGCACCACTTGGTGCAACGCGTGTGGATTGAGGAGGAGGTGCCTCCTGAACTGAAGGATGCCCTTGTGCTACCACTGTACAAGGGCAAAGGTAGCAAGCAATGTTGCACGAATTATCGTGGCATCAACTTGCTGAGTTGTGTGGGCAAGGTGCTTGCCCGAATCCTGCTCAACTGCCTCGTCAGTCAGGTTGTGGAACCTAACGTGGCGGAAGAGCAGTGTAGATTCCGTTCGGGTCGCAGCACTATAGATATGGTGTTTGCGGCTCGTCAGTTGCAAGAAAAGTGCAGAGAACGACACCAGCCATTGTACTCACTTTTTGTTGATTTCACCAAGGCATTTGATACGGTGAACCGCGAGGCATTGTGGCTGGTGTTGGGAAAGTTTGGTTGTCCGCGTAAGTTTGTAAGTTTACTTGAATGTCTGCGCAGTGGTATGCGAGCGAGGGTGCAGCTGAGTGGAGAGACCTCGGATGACTGCGGTTGTCTCTGGTGTGAAGCAAGGCTGTGTCTTAGCTCCTGCCCTGTTTAATATATATCTTCATGCAATTATGTCTTGTGCTTTTGATGCCGCTTGTTCTTACGGTGTTCGTGTGGAGCACCGTATTGATGGCGGGTTGCTGAACATCCGTCTTTTCAGTGCGAGAACTCTAGTCTGTGAGACAACTATTTGTATGTTGCTGTTTGCTGAGGACTGTGCGTTGTTTTCACACAGCGCGGATGAGTTGCAGCACATGACTAGTGCTCTGGCTTCGACAGCGGCCAAATTCGGGCTCACCATCAACACAAGCAAAACTTTCTGTCTCTTGCAACCTTCACCGGAGGTGTAATCTTCAATATTGCCGCAAATCAGCATTGGTGCTGAAGTATTGGAAACCACCGGCTTCTGTTACCTTGGGAGTGTGATGTCGACTGATCAGCAGCTACACGTTGAGTTGCGTATTCGCGTGTCGAAGGCAGCAGTGGCATTCGGGAAGCTTGAGTATCGAGTGTGGAACAACCATCAGCTTACCATTGGCACAAAGCTGATGGTGTACAAATCTATGGTACTGTCCGTTCTTCTATACGGCAGTGAAACGTGGACGATGTACCGTCGGGATGTGCGATATCTCGAGCGGTTCCATCAGCAGTGTCTGCGACGAATTTTGCGGATTGGTTGGGGCGCCAGATTTGCAGACACGGAAGTGTTGCGCCGAAGTAGGATGTATGCAATGGACGGCATACTTTTACTGCGACACCTGAGATGGCTCGGTCATGTGTGGCGTATGGATTCGGCGCGGATACCGAAACAACTATTATATAGTCAGCTGAGTATAGGGAAGCGGCATGCTGGGAAACCAAAGTTACGTTACCAGGACATGATTAAAGTGAGCCTCACACGTTCTAATCTTGATTGTTCGAAGGTGGTTGATCGTGGTGCATGGCGCGATCTAATCACGAAGGCAGTTGCTGAAGTGCGGGAGAAAGCCCTCATGCATGCAGAGAAGAAGCGGCAAGTGCCGAAGCGGCAAGCACCAATGAATTGTGCTCCATCGACATCGAGCGCATGGTGCTGTAGAACATGCGGTCGCGAGTGCCTTAGTCAGGCAGGCCTAGTGAGCCATGAGAGAGGTCACTCGGGACCACTGCCGAAGCGACGACGGGTCCCGCAGTGAACGTAGGCAGCACAGGCGCAGCGTTTGTAGGCACGCTGAATTCGATTTACTAACCGCATGCTTGCATGCTAAGTCTCTTTATTTCAGGTGGTGAGTTTTCGGTTCTGTCCTAATGCCTTTCTTTCTCACGTAAGTGTTTAGTGGGCCATGAGCTATGCCCTTTGGGGCCACTACAGAAGCGACGACGGGTCCTGCAGAGAATTACGGCGAGCCGGCGCAGCGTTTGTAAGCACGCTGAATTCGATTTACTAATCGCGTGCTTGCATGCTAAGTCTCTTTATTTCAGGTGGTGGGTTTACAGTTTTTACTTTAATGCTTTTCTTTCTCATATAAATATCTCCCTGTACTCTATTCCATTAACTTGCACACATCGCCTAAGCCAATTGTATTCGATTTCCGTAGCATATTTGTATTCGTGGCATTCCGTGAACTATACTTCCTGACCTCGTGCACTTAGCTAGGATTTGTTTGTAAACAACGTATTACATATGCTATTTAATTAAGGTTTATATCACCGTTTCCTTATGCATTAATCGAGTTTTTCTCTTTCTCTCTCTCTCTCTCAAGTGTTTGGCTGTTGTTTGATATCCCCGGTGTGGATGCGCTTGATGTGCATGTTGATAAGGTGCCTACCTGTCTATTACCCACTACCTCGTCTATACCGGCTCCAGGAGACAGTTGGTCGGTGCTGGAGGGGACAGGGTGCACGGTCCTTGTGGCCGTGTTAGGATCAAAGAGTGGTTTTCCATGCAGTCAGTGTGGAGCGGACTACGGTCCAGCCACGCCTTGTGTGCGCTTGATTCTCCAAATACAGCGTGATTGTGTTTGCCTGTGAAGGAGTGTGGGCCGGCTCCGTTGATGAAACCTGGCTCCCATCTGCATGCCTCCCGGTCTTATTCGTTCGGGTTTACACTGGAAATGGGGTGTGTGGTTGGAGCTGTGGGTGGTGCAGCGCAAGCCGTCCATGGTCCCTCAGTAGGCGCAGGCGTCCTGTGGTTTGCAACAGTGACAGGCAAATCCGAAACCGGATGCCGCCAACCATTTCCTTCATGTATTGCGGCACAATAGCGGAGGTGTTTTCTCATCTCTAGCTGATGTGTGTAATGATGTTACAGTGTGTTGAGCTTTCGGAAGGGCAAAACAGTGCGCCTTGTTTTGCAGTGGGTATCTAGTGTCACTCTTTGAACGAAAGTAAGGCGCAATATTCATGTCAGGGCTATTGAGAGTATTGAACAGAAGTATAAGTTTGGTTTTTATTTGACGCAGCCATAGTGGTTGCAGCGCTAGCTGTTGACACCGACCGCGGTAGTTTAGCGTATACGGGTCGAGTAAGCGTTTAATGAATGACGTCTGAACTTTCTCGATGGCTATTCTGTCACTTTTACGTGACCTAGTGAGAATAATTGAGCAGTATTCAAGAATAGGCCTGACCTAAGTAACGAGGTAATGAGCTTGTTTTGTAATCAGACAGCGCAGGTTCCAGCCTGCGTATGGGCAAGGCGACCCTCGCAGTATCCTTAGCCCACGTGCAATTTGTGGTTTTTGCGCGGCAGCGAAGCGTCAGTATTGCGTACCGACGTACTTCTGATGCCTTTCTTCTCTCATGGGGTTCAGTCCATGCAAAAGCCGGTGGTCATCGGAGTAGTTCCTCCCCCCTCCGTTTGTTACTCACCTCAAGAAATGAGTAGTCATTGACCCTATAGCCAGTCACATTATCTTTGGTACGGTGCTATACGAGCTCTTCTGGTAGTTCTTGAAGAAACCTTTGACTAGCCTAGAAATCCCTACGCTCTGAGACACCGCCGTTGCTTGTTGCGACTGCCTATTCATCTCGCATGGAAACAGACGAGACTTATTCGCAGAGACATCTACAAAGAAGATATTACCCGATCTGCAACCTGGGTGTGCACCCGATAGCGCACAGCTCTGCCGGGCCAACCAACGGTCGGTTTACCTCCGGAGCGAACTTTTGTGCCTCGAATGTGACCTGCTTATGTAACAGTTGTGATTATCGCATAGCCGAAGATGTCACCATTGTCGTATCTTGGAATACCCCTGTATGTCTATCTTGCGACACGTAACCTCAGTTGTAGCCAGATTTTTGTTGAAGCAAACATCCGGCATATCGATCACAGGGACCGCATATGAAGTGAAGACTTTTGGAGCGTCAATCTCACAACATTGTCCACCACAACCGATCTGTTTCGTTCCGATTTGGGCTCGTCAGATAAAGATGGCCTGAGCTGAGAGGGGAACCTGACACAATTGTTAACGGCTTTCGTCTTGATCTCTAATCTAGAGCTTCACGTGCAACGCTTAACCCAGCGGCTAGAAGCTCATTGTTGTCACCATTGTCAGTATCGCATGCATCGATTTTGAGGTGTTCTCCTAGGCTGTGTTTTACTTCATATGGACATCGACCTACGCTCCTGTCTATCACAACAATCTCGCTATTTTTATGGTAGACCACTCAAATTGAAGCAAAACACCGCAAGATTTTGTTCAAATGTTTTTCCCGTGTTATTTGCAACAACTTTGAATCGGTTCCACTCTAACCTCCCTGTCCCTTTTTATTTACATTTTTACACACATGCATTCTTCCCCCATGTTGTCCCTTATTATTTGTTTTTACTATTGTACTGACGCTGAAAAACGTCCCCAATCCCAATCGATTAGCATTGCCAACCTTGGTTGACTGCTTGTTTCATGAAAGCTTGTGACTACGTCGCTTATCGTGAACGCTTGGCCACTCTCAAGGCTGGTCATTCTTTCGAGTTATTTGTGTAACGTCTAGGAGTTACAACAATCAATGTGTTTTTAATCAATTGACTTGGTGGCATTCACCTTTGGTAGTGTCTGACTTGTTGTTGTCTCCAGAACAACAAATGAATTCAGGTTTTACTTTCCTGCTTTCCACTGACTGTACAAATATTCTTTTCTTCGCTTAGCTGGCCAAACTGAACAGATATTCCCTGAAATCCCGCCTCCGTAATGAAGCTAATTTTTCTCTAAATGTTATTCCAGGTTGCGTATGTGATCGGACTGACTTACCCCCATCTCCTATCGTCCTTCTTCAAGATATATTTGAAGCCTTCCCTCAAATGCCCATAAACATAGACCTCAAAGTGGATGACGACAGACTTGTCAAACTGGTGAGTATTGCCACTTTGTATTCGTCAATTTTTATGCGGATGAGTAAGAACCACTCACTTGCTCAGCTATGTAAGTGAACCTACAGCATCACATTCTCCCAACAATTCAGTTCACGACTTGTCTCATCCTTGCTACGATTTTTCAGGTACTGTTAACTTTGCACTCGAATCTCGGCCTTATTGCTCTCTAGTACACTCCACGCTACCACAACGAGCATCGCGGACACTACTTGCCATTACGGTGTAGAAGTACTTGGTGGGTTCTATGGAGTACAAATTGTGTGTTGGGATTGTGATACGCAGTTTGAATCGCGATCAGTGGGATTGCATCTTAGGTGAACAGTACATTTATGCTCACCTAAACCTATATTTTATGACTGGCTTGATTATCGTTTTTCCCCTACTTATGATCTTCTATAGCATCGATTTCGAACAGTTTTCCCTTCCTTTCTTGTTCTTTTCGCATGTCATTATTTTCACTGATACATTTATAATCCGTGTTTGAAGGCCAACTGTCTTGCTATCCCTACATCTCTTGCTTACTTTACTACCCTCGGTGTACGACCCTCCATCGGTTATCATTATTATTATTATCGATTTTGGCTTGACGCATCTGTTTCACTGCTCAATATTAGCCTCTTTCATGAAATGGGTTCTTATAGCCACTCCTTCATTCTTTACCTTTTACTTAATTGCGGTCTTCTCTGAACAGAACTTGTACATCCGGTTACCAGGCTTCGATGGGCCTACCAGATAAGTATAATCTCCCAGGCAACGTGGTCGATTACTGAGCTTGCCCAAGTAATCAGGTGGTGACGTGCAACCTGTAAGGCGCAACATTGCCTTCTCCAAAGGCGATTACGATTTTGTAAACGACACCCCTCAGCAGAAATGCGATCGTTCTGGTCGCCACATCCAATCATTTGGCACATTTGGTGGGTGTGCGAAACTCCCATGCCAGTTGGTTACCGCAAATGGCGTGATCGCATCCATAATATCGTTTCCTAGGTTCATCAGGAATAAAAACAACGGTTGTGCAGTCGATGGAGCCCAGCCCATCGAAGTCAGTGGAGCCAGTCAGGTAAGCTATCAACGTCGCCACGAGTGGTCCTTATGAAAAAATGGCGGTGAACTCAAATATATAGGTGTCATTGCTTCTCAAGCATCCTGCTTCCGGTTCCAATTAATAACGCTCCTCATAATCATCATCGTCATTTAACACAACAGCTAAGGGTGAGTAACATCACAGCTATTGTGCCGCGATTCAGTTCGATAAGATGAAAGCAAGAAGTAAAAAGCAAATGCTGTATGTGATGGTAGTATCAGATCAGAGTGAGCAGATGGACCAACCGAGCGAGCCAAACAGCCAATGAGAGGCGGATGTGACATATTCGATTACTGGACTCGGATTGGACCCTATTCATGTGAGTGATTCACTGTTTGTTTAACTGAAGCAAATGAAGAATCTCATCGACTCGGAAGGGTACTTAGTTATGGACTTGAACCTGCGATCTATATCCAGGAGTTTGGCTTGCTAAACATGCTGTAATTTTCACTCAGCCGAATAAACGCTTGTACCTGAAGAACTGAGTTCTGCAACAGTGCAATGCTTTGTTTTAAAGGATGCGTTCAAGACTTGATCTTGGTTACGATGTGGACTAAATGGGATGGAGCGGGATACTGAAACCCACTACGTAACCCCCAGTATGGTCGGTTCTTCGCCATGCCGACAAGCGCATCGAACTAAATCTTTAGCACCCCAGTCTAAAGTGCGGTAGGCTCCAACTGCGGTCTTCATCGGTTGGCGTCCTTTCCTCTTCTTCCATCTAGAATCCGGTCGTGCGGGAATTGGTGTGTAAGCACGCACTTGTGGCCTACCCATCATGACCTGACTCGCAAAACAATGGTGTGAGTGATTCACTCGCTCTTCTTGCACCACAAACGTGACGCCAAACATGCTCATTGTTCCCACGATGTTCCTACCAGATGTGAGCGAAGTTTAGAAGGCACCGATGGTGAAACTCAACTAGCCTCATTAGTTCTGCCGATTTGATGGGTCAGGATTCACAACCGTATAAGGAGGTTGAACAGACGACTGTACTGATCCAAACATCGCACAGTTTTATGGGATTCCGCAAGTACACAAAGAGAGTGCATCGCTACGACCAATAGCAACCTACAACTTGGCTAAATAATTATAGAAACGCTTCAAACACCAGACCAGAGGATCGTAACACTCGATCAATAATGGTCATCAGGTTTTAGAAAGGTTCAAATGCATGCGGATAGACCATGAAGAAGTGATGGTATCCTTTGATGTCACCGCACTTTTCACCTCTATCAACTTACAGATAGCGAAGGAAAACATCAAAAACGACTGAATAATGGAGGACAAACGACTGGGAATCTGACAGCTGCAAGCATATGTAAGCTCCTCGGCTTGTGTCGCAACACCTACTTCAAATTCATCGGAATGTTTTGCGAGCAAATGAGAGGAGCTCCAATGGGATCCCTCATATCTGCGGAATTCGTCATACAAAGGTTGGAAGAGGATCTATTCCCAGTAATTAGTCCGAAATTATGGGTGCGATACGTTGACGATACGTTTGTGATCCTCAAACGCAGTCAGCTACAGACCGCACAAGACCTACTCAACAACGCAATGGAAGGTATTCATTTCACCATGGAAGAACTGGTGGAAAATCAACTACCGTTTATGGACGTGCTGGTTACGAACATCAGTTTACAGAAAGGCGACACACACCGATCAAGCTCAGCAGCAATCACAATAAGTGTCACAAAATATGCTGTATACGGACCGTTTCGTAGGATAGAATCACATTGTAATACTTCGGAGGCGAAAGAAAAAGAAGTGAACATCTGTTTATATCTTTCATTCGCAACGGCTACCCACCCAGTTTCATCCGAAGACACCTAAACCGAAGAAACACAACTACCGCACCTGCACCGACAACGGGGAAGCGTATCGCCTTGCCATGCATCAAAAAGGTATCGGAAAAGACAGCCGGACTCCTCAAGCCGCACAACCTGATGGTAGCTCACATACCAACTGCGTCTTTGAAGCGAATCTTGTCTAGACCTAAGGGAAAACTGGAAGCCCACGAACACCGAAATCTCGTTTACAGGATACAATGCGAGAACTGTGAGGAAAACTATGTGGGTCCAACGGAGAGAAAACGATCTACAAGAATGTGGATACCATTATGCACCGTCACAGATCTCATCGCATCTCGATGAGGAAGTACACAACTTTAATTGGGACAACACGGAAATTCTGGTGCACGGAGGGACAGAACAAGGAAGCGAATTCCTAGAGGCATAATAATAATAATAATAATAATAATAATAATAATAATAATATCTACGGAGAAGTCAATGAACTTCCGCATTGACCTCAATCCAATGTACCTACCAGCTGAGAAAGCATGGAAATGGGCGGCCGAAAATCGAACGAACAGAGGTCACGGGACACGGATCTACGAGGCCAATTTCAAACAGCACGTCCCAACGACACTTTCCGTGAGATTACCCTCTACGCAGCCGTGCGCTGAAGATGCCACTGAACGAAGTGGTAACACCTTTGTCATTAAATTACTCAGCTCGGAGAACCAATCAAAACCCTAACTACTAAACCGAGCTACAAACATTTTGAATCATTGCAAACTGTCAAGGTAATTGACTTTTGTGGGACTTCTAGCTGATGCCCACCAACAGTCAGCGCAGTTAGCCGCTTTGCATTCGGATGATGCAATACAACGCCAGAAATAGCCAGCAGCCAGTGCTGCTTAGCACGTTTTTGTGCTGTCACGGATGAGGGCAATATCGTCAGCGTACTGCAAAGCAAAAGGTCGATCACCTGCTTGCAGCTCTATACCTTCCATTTCATGTCTGTTGGACGCTGTTTCCATAACTTCGTTAATAAAATGGCTGACAACGTGCATCCTTTCCTCATATCCTTGAAAGTATTAATTGTCTGCAGTAGTCTGTCATAACCCTCACTCTGCAAGGCCTACACAGGTGAAGCGCTCTGATAATGTCTACCTTTTTCTCGGACTTATCTTTTCGAAAGCACCCTTTGACTCACTGAATGGAAGGTATCGTGTTGTGATGTCGCGCCGGTGCCATAGGCGGCGAAGATTTGCAAAGGCGCCTCGGGCATTATGTGATTTGTGTTCTCGTCTTCGATTCCACAGGTGCCGATACAACTACCCAGATTGTTGAATTTTCGAACGACTTCTAGCTGATCCCCATCACAGGAGGCCGTTCTTACCAAGTTTGGAGGAAAGTTTTGCAGTTCGAAGATGCGAAGCAAATCCCGAAGCAGCTGACAGGTTAGAGCAATGTCCTCATCATACTCCAAGGTTGAGAGCAACTCCACACCTTCATAGTCGTGTTGCATGTACGCGATTTCCATGACTTCCTCAATAACGAAGTTGAAGAGGAATGGTGACAACGGGCACCCAAGCCTTACACCGCTGGCGATATTGAAGGTGGCGACAGCATGCGTCACACAGCGTCCTCACTCTGCCCGAGCTACGCGCTTATAACGTTCTGATCGTACTTACGAATTTCTCGGACACATGGTTACTGAGTTGACAGTTTCATAAGGCACTTCGATTAACCGAATCGAATGCACCTACGGTATCAACGTACACGACTTCGGTGAGTCGGCGATATATATGACGGTGTTCCAACGATTGACGCGAAGTGAAGATGTGATAGATGCAGCCCCGACCTCGACGAAACCCGGCTTGTTCCTCACGAATCTGGCTTTCACGGGCTGCCAGTTCATCTATGAAGGATTACAAACGCAAGCAATTTGTTGGCGATAGCGATCTGACTGATTCCTCTATGGCTATCGCATTCCTAACGTAAGTCTTTCTTGAAAATCCCGACAACAACTTGGTTATTTGGGACTTTCCAGCTCCCACATTTTCACTGATAACTCATATAAGTCATCCACAGGAGCAGGTCTCCTG